AATAATAAATAAAATATATAAAAAGTTCTTAGGTCTGTGTGACCAAGCCCTCAATTTTACTTAAAAGCCTGCTTTTTGTCCAACTCAGTATCGTGGTATTAAACTACCATCATATCACACATCTGCAATTTAAATCATGCAAAAAGAAATACATGCATAAATGCCTAATGCACTGATAAGGGGGAAGCAACGACAGCATGCATAACTAAGCTATATTTGCAGTGACCTGGTTAGTTTGTGTGAAATTACAGTGATTAATTCAAAAACTGACCTTTTCATTTGTCGCTGCCACTACTGCAATATGTTTAATGGAAACTAATGATGTGAAAATTGCATTCCTCCTCCTTGAATGGCTGATGTGATAATAGCATGATTTGGACAAGCCATTTTCACATCTTTATGTGTAAAAGTGAGCTAACAGTTAATTATAGACCCCACAGTCATGTTGAGGCAAATATTATTTTAATTTCTCCTCCATGACACTTAACAAGTCATCGAAATAAATCTTTTTTTTTTTAAATGGGCTTATTTTTTGAAATACTGTGTGATGGTCTCTCACCATACATATGCATGTGTGAAGGCTTTTCAGTTTCAGTGTATGTTTTCAAAGAGTGTGAAGGCAAGGGACATTAGATTAATGAGTTATTCTTCAGCCCATAGCCTGGTGAGGCCACAGCCTGTGCTGTAGGCGGCTGAGGTTGCAGGCGCTGCTGTGAAAAGACCAAGAGATTGTGTAATACGCACAGAGGAAAACATTTCGAGGGGCAAGTGTGCAAACACAATTCATAAAAACCTGTAGCTTGCATCCCACAACCTTTCTTTATCGAAGGAACTGTCTTATTTTGACAGAATCTTATTTACCACACCCTGAGGTTATCAGCCCAAGCTCACCCATACCTGTCCCCCAACCACCACTACCACATGCACACATGCTTACTAACACACCATGAACCTTTATTGCCTATCCCTCTGCTCCTGTTTTTTTTCCCACTCGCCAACTCCCTCTGTGCACCTCTTTATTTCTGGGTTTTCGGTTGTTGTTGTTTTTTTGGTCTCCTTTCCTTCTTTTGTTTGACGGTTTGTTAAAGTCAGAGACAAAACAAAACAAAAACACATCTGTCCTTCATGAAAGAACTTGCCATGCTCTTTAGAATTAATGAAATTTATTTTTTTCAGGAAAGCTTTTTGAAGGTCTTCCTTAAACAAGGCTGAAAGGGTCTTCAAGCGCAGTATTGTTAGATAATATATAATAATCATTAAAAAAAAATAAGTAAGTTAACCAAAATATTTAGGAAATAATGTGTGTATGATTGAGTCTAGTGCCAATTCCAACTAAAGAAAAAATCAGGCAATTTAGTTGACACAAATTGCAGTGTACAACATTCTAAGAAGAAATACATTCATTATTATTTCCGGTTAATGAAATTGCAGTCTTTGTAGCCATCAGCTTTTTTATTTTCAAAGCCTCGCTCCATTTGAAACAAAGCAGTCTGCATGACATGCCTGAGACAAAAGTGTTGCTATTCAATGAGACTGTCCTCCCACAAGAAAACAACCCTACAGGTCATCTGTTCAAGTTGTTAAGACAGCCTGTCATTATGTTTTAAAGTTTAGCAGCCTCTAAAGCATTTGTAAAGAGCTATAATGAGACTGTGTGCCGTTGTTGTCACCTTTGGAGAGAGCGTATCTCAGCACCGTGTAAACACACAAAGCTTGTAATGTGTTTAACACAGTTAAAGGATGTTTTTGAACCCAAACTATGATGTCTTTCAAATCACCAGGATGCCGTTTTTTATTCCTAGATCCAAACAATTCGAGTAAAAGTCAAGTAAAAACAAATTTAATCCTAAAACTGATCCCATATGACATTCAAAAACGTAATCTAAAATCCAAAGTCCCAGTTGACAATGTTGTATTTTTAATCACATTTACCTCTTACCTTTTGACCCCATCCATGGAAACACTGAAATAATTTCATGTGCATATCAGAAAGTATGATAATTTAGTAGTGCGACTTGTGTTGTGTTTGGAACATCAGAAATTGGTTTAATTTTGATTCCTGGAGGAATTTTCTAGCTTTTCGCTTATTTGAAACCAGAAAATTAATGGAATTTGTTGTGTTAATGTTGACAAAAAAAAAAAAAAAACATCACATTAGTGTAACTGTTGCAGTGGTATTTTCAGTTAGTTGCAGGACTTGATTTGTGTCACAGAGATATACAGCAGATGTCTTCATACACATTAAAAGTTTTGTGGAGAAATAACAGCCAATAACTCTGCACAATGAAAACATCACCCTGGAAGAAAGTTCTGCTTGAAGTATACTTGCATGTCACTGTTTCACTGCTAACTCTCTACTCCTTGCTTGCCTTAGGCTTGGACTTAAGAAGGCTGATTGGGGGCCATTCTCTCTGCACAATACACCACCTTGTTGCCCCTTTTACTCTGTCCTCCATCCTACACCTCTATGCTTTGCTGCTGTAATGACTCAATTTCCCCTCTAGCATGCCTGGCCTTCAGGGATCAATAAAGTTAATCTCATGTTGCCTTACCTTATCTCACAGTGGATCCCAGCCTCATTAAGACATGCTGGAACTTTTGCCACATAGAGGCTGAATAAAAGTAGGCCCAGGGCCCAAAAATGTGCCTGAAGCTTAGTTCTGGTGGCAGCAGTGGCAATATGTTATAATAAATCTCAATTTTAGACTCACAGGGAGTGCATTTCTCATTTTTATCCCTGACTGAAGAATCTTTAATATCCCTGGGAATATGGGTTTGTGAAGACCACAGGGCTTCTCCGGTTCATCTGTCAGACATCTGTTCATTTTACAAAACTTACCTTTTTTTCCAGTTAAATACTTGCTGATAGCAATAAAAGAGAAGACTAAGGAATTCACCTGAGATCATTCGTATCCATATTCATCAAAACTGTGTCCTGTGTTTAGTCTTGACCATTTCTTTTCATATTTTTCCTAAAGACAAATAGCAAGAAGAAAATCACATGCTCTTGTTTTTAAGTTTGTTCCTGTATGATCTGTCTTCTTGCAGACGCCATTACACTGTTTTGACCTTTTTTCCTTTGGGAAAATACTTTCAATCACAGAAATAAGTCAAGGAGGCATATTAACCTCCCACCAGCATACCCTCAGGTGCATGGCAGCACACACAAGTGCAACTGTATGCATGTATGAGTCATCCTGCTAGTACGATTGCACCCTTTTGGGTGCAAATTTTGGGCGGTGCTTGTTGGGTCAAACAAACTTTGCCTTGCTGTCTTGGTGTAGTGTCAAGCAGCCTAATCTTCCACCTCCAGATTCCTGTGCAAAATCAACACAGGCTGCCTCCTTCATTTACCTTGTTAGCTAACTGACAGCGGACTGTCTGGCCTCCAGCTTAACGGTTTTAATGAGCAGAGGGCCTCGTTAGTACTGTGTGGATAGCTTGAGACAAATGAGCTTGTTAAGTCCAAGCCATGCATATTCTTAATTAGCCTTTTGTAGTGTGTTTGATAGCACAATGATTTTGAAGGTGTGGGATAGAGTGTGTGTTTTCAACATTAAAGGCATTAAAATTTCCTAAATAATACCCCTAAGTTTAGTGCATTATTTTTATTTTTATTTTGTAATTTATACAGGATTATTCAGGAAGAAGACGCTTTGCTTTTAGAGGTACACTATAATCAGACAGTTGAAAACACATTCGCAGTGGAAGCTGTCCAGTCAACTCAGTTTCATAGCACACTCACAGTCCAAAACTGCTGAACATTGAGCAACACTGCGTCAGCTGTTGGGTTTAAGGGCCTTGGTCAAGAACACAGTAACTGTGTTAAAGATGAAATAACTTGCAATGTTTTGTTTGCAGTTCTGCTTCTCTAACTACCAATCCCCATTTAGAACAATGCTAATAGAGTGCTTCCAGCTGCAGTAGCAATGTCTGATAATGACCTTAAACATAAACTTAACACATACCAAAAATGTACCTTGTCTCTCACACAATTTCAGCCCCACAGTAGCTGCTTGAGTTGGCAAAAGACTTAAGCAGATGGGAACAAACACACCATTTCACCAAAGCATGAGACAGAACACTTTCCTACAAGACTAGAGGGAACTTCCAACAGTTACTGTTAGGTACAACATAATGCTTATTAAGTGGGCAATGTATTTTAGATTTATTATGTACATGAACGTATTAATTATTGTGGATTACAATCAGATAAAAAAAATACAAATAATTACTTATTGAACACTTTGCAATAAATTCACATTCATCTTTCTCACAAGTGTTCATACAGCAATTTATTTGCATGCACTTCAGCACTGCATTTAACTTCCATTCACTCCTACAACACATTTTTAAATCACTATGTCACCTAACATGCATGGGAGGAGCTGGAGCTGGAGGGAAATCTGTGCAGATATACATGCACATTCCACACAAACAGGTCTCAGTCAATCAGGAGGTTTGAATCTTCTTTCTGCAACAGCACTAACCACTTCACTACCATGTCAACCAACATGGTGCTATAATAATACTATCCAAGGCTCAAGTTATCAAACCCAGAAACAGAGTTAAAGATACTGGCCATATCATTCCTACTGGGATGGATGATCCAAAACACTCAAAAGTTCAGTCGAACAGAGATGAAGAATTTGGCTGGACTTTGTGGCAGAAGCATTAGCCTTTGGCTACATGAAGAGGGTTTCTTTAAATTAGCTCCACTGGTATTGTGGTCTCCCCTTCTGCTGCTGGCAGCTGCAGAGCGTCTGAGACAGAGACCTCAAGCAGGATTCTTGTAATTGGAAGATGAAATCCTCGGAGCCATCGCTGGCCTGAAAGACACAGTCATAATTGTAAGATAAATAATGTATGTTTACATAATATATGAAGCCATGTTTTGGCCACAGTTTTTACAGAATCTTTTCTTGAGCTGCTGGCCTCTTTTTCCAACTGCTCTGTTTTCTCATCTTTTTATGAATGACATACTTATTGAAAAAAACAAAATGGTGTTAGAGTTCTGAATTCCCTCATTTCTGTGCTTTGTGGTTCACCAGTCTAACTTCATTTTGTTAACTATAGCTGTCTGACAAGAGATAAATGACTACATAATTGGCAGCCTTTCTGAATTTCCCAGTTCTCTAAAACTTTAATTTGAGAGGCTGTAAACAGTGTCTGGGTTGATAAAAGTAAATTGATTGAGGTTTTTGTTTATTTTCTTTAATGCCACCAGTGGTCAGCGTTAACTAATCAAAAATACCGCAAATTGCAATGCTCAAGATAAATAAATAAAATAAAATAAAAAGCAATGGCGACAACCTTTTCTGTACAAGACCTCTAATTTGCCACTCACTTATTTCTGAGTGCAATCTTGTTTTTGTTTTGATGGCAACTGAAAGCAGTTCCAGAAGACCTGGAGTGCAATTTTTAGTCATTATTTTCCTGCTATCCCAAGGACACAGGGAAAATGCTTGGAAATTCATGGGTTTGTAAGTGTGTGGGATATCAACCTCATTAACATTTTTGACATCATTTCAGGGAGATGGTGATAAATCGGTGTAGGCAAAGCAAGTAATTGGCTCCCTATGGTAATTATGGAGTGGACCTTTGAAGCAAATACTCATATAAATGCCTCATATTTTGGAACGATAACACTAGAAAACAATCTGTTTCTTCCCCACCATCTCAAATGAGAGCAAACTGACTGTTTGTTGTAATTTGCTGATCAAACACCAAGCTCTTCTCCAGCAACACAATCTTATTGGAGATTCAAATCACTCTCTGAATTCCTTTTGGGTGCTTTTAGATGGAACCGTATTCTCAAATTTGGTTTCTTTGACAAGCTTTAAACAATAAAAAGTGAATATTTGGATATAGCTTTTTACTAAAATGAAAGAAGCTGCCCTTGATTATAAGTCTCTACCAGCTCCACAAGGGTTTCTGAGGTGGTCTTTAGGCTTTAAAGTGGCATCTATGCCAATTATTTTAGAACCTACCCAAATGAAAAAACACTCTAAAAGGTCTGGACATCCACAAAAGACAACACCAACATCCCAAACTAGTTGGGCAAGGGCCCTTTGTCGTTATTATTTGCTACAGAGATTTGTCATATCCCATATGTCCCATCATGGGGTTATAGTGAGCAGTCTGGAAAATCATTTCCCCGCTGCTTTTTGTTACCAGCAACTGGTTGTGTTCCTCTTTCATGCGACTGTCATGACTCAGTTGATATAGTCTGCCCCTAACCATCACAAAATGTGGGTAGGTCAGTGCAATGTCAGGGTGCACCATTTGAACACTGATTTTCATCATCTTGTCGAAGGTCGATTGTCGTCTTGAGAGTGGGAATTCTCCCATGGAATAATTCACTGGAGACAGCGGAGCCTCTGTCACTAAAGAGAAGCGTCACTACTACAACCTCACGTCACCACTGAACGCAGCAAAGACACTACAAATCGCTTATTGGTCATGAAAGCATCCCACACACTTCCCCAACAGGTTATTAAACCCCAGTCAATATGTTCCCTGAATTAAAGACTGCATCAGGCGGGAGCTAACTGCAGTCTTGAATTTGTGTGTTGCTCTTGTAATTTCCATAGCGATAATGTTTGTGTTTGTGTATGTCCCCATGTACATACCTAACCTCCACCTACACTGCCTCAGCCAGTGTCCCTGGCCGAATTAGGGTTTGGTGGTGGTGTTTAGCATGTTTGGCGTGTGTAGTTAATGTGTTGTCTTGTGTAGTTAGTGTGTAGTGTTGTGGATAGTTTTGTGTTGTGTGTCAGAATAATGAGGTAACTGCTGTCTCCAGGTAGAGAACAGAATTTTTTTTTTTTTAAGTAACACAATAGCTACTTTTCAAGTACTTACTTTCAGAATCTTGTAACTCAGTTACTTTTTTTGAAGAAGTAACTAGTAACTATAATTAATTAATTTTTCAAAGTAACTTGCCCAACACTGGTGGTGATGGGACCAGCTGATTTCATGCCACCGGTTATGGCCACCCCATGGTTATGGCCACCCCATCGACAGGTGGTCTTCCTCCAATGTCACTGCAATGTCCAGACTGGCCGGTCAGTGGCAAACATTTCATACCATATATCAGGTAACGTGTTGTAAGGGTGATGATTTTAGCTTGTTTTTCAACCAACAGACCTTTTGCAGTAAGAAAAGTACCAGCCCACTTATACCTGGAGGAGCTGCTCAGGCTTTGTGCTGATATTAATGCTCGAGTTTTCTGAACTGCAGTTGTTTGGTTAGCAGAGTGTTGGTGACTTTTACACACTGTGCCACAGCACTCAGCCTCAAAGCAGCACTGATAGAGCATAGGGTCACTGAGTTGCTGTAGTCCGCTTTGCAATAGGGTAGTTAAAGTAAATAGAGACATTTCTAAAACACAAGAAATTAGACCAACTGACTTATTGCAGATGTCACACCCTTTTTCAGTACTACACTCATAGGCACAGAGATCTTTCAAACAACCAGTTATTTCAAAAATGTTTGTAAAGGCAAATGGCATTGCTAGGTGCTTGATTTTACATACCTATCACAACTAAAAATGGAGCAGTTTTGTTTTGCTGGCACTATTGAAAATGTCCTCCCATTTCTCTTTGTGAGCTACTAGTCTCTTTCTCATTGACAGGAGTAAAAAATGCTGATATATTCATAATCATAAACTTCCAGAGCCCATTTATAATGTCAAACAATCCTACACATTAAATATATTTTTCTTTAAAAAGTCAGGAAATGTGAGTAGAGGCTAAATAACCCCCAAAACTCCTGCAGTATAAACCTACCATTAGAGAGGCCAAGATCCTAACGGAGAAAATTAGGTAATTTCATCAATAGTTAGATCATGAGTTATTGTGCTTAAGTACTTTGGATTTAAAACTAAACATGCCCTTGACTCATGCTAATTTACACTCTGTTTGATTAATAAGTTATATATCTGATTCAATAATTGATAGTGAGGCTCACATTAACATTTTTCATGGGTAATTGATAAAGCAATTAACCATATGTTGATGAAGCAGATCTCTGAACACATGCTGACTGATAATCCATACACACACTTTGATAAAGATCGGAGGTTACACACTCACAGCTGTCACCACAAGGTTTCCTTTATACCAAGAGAAAGTGTACGTGTACATTTCCACCTTAAAATGAGACCATGTGTTTCACTGTTGACCCAGCAAGTCATAAGCGTGTATCAGTGTGTGTGTTTTAGTTTGTGAGTCAGGTAGTACCATCTGTTCTCCCAGTTATAGGGCATGCTGTGCTTTAAGAGAATTTGAGACAACAGAGCAGTTCACTCATCTGAGACCAAACCATATGACTACACTATTTAGCACATATAAGAGTAAATGTCATTGAACTGCTCCCACCTGTGCTTTCGTGAAATAAGATTATATTTTTACTGGACTTTAAAAAGTCTAGTGGAAACTGTGACAAGCACAATAAAAATTACAAGTAACATTTAATGTTGCCAACAATAAATGTAAAATGGTAGCATTTTCCTTGATTAATTTATATACACTCTGAAGCTGATCACAAGGTGGAGCATGAAGCACAATAAAGTTTTGCAAATCACGTGTGAACCTGCACTGAGTTCAGGTCTGTTTCTTCACTTCCAAAGGGTACCCACTTTGAAGTAACTGTTTCTTTCAAGTAATTTCTTTTCATCCAGAAATCAACAACGCATGCATACAAAACATGCCTCAAATTTATTAGCCAGTCTCTAAACTAAAGCCTTGGAGCTGCTTTGTATAAGTACACTGATACTAAGAAGCTTTAACTGTGGAAGTTAGAGGTCACTCAGTTTTTTTGCTACTATTTCTCTATATATAGTATCTGAAGTTAATTCAAGGTTCTGAATTTGAATTTTAAACATGAGGCCCAAAAATCCAAATAAACCAGAAAAGCACCAAATCAATAATCTGGTGCAGTAGAAGGATAACTGCAATAAAGGTCTAGTAGAAATCTAGGTAGCACTTTATTTTACATCTCAGTAATAAAGGGGTAATAGTAGAGTAACAAGGAAGAAACAAGAACTTAATAATATGGTCATTTCTAAGTTATTACCACGCAATTACCTGTGGTAGTTTCTGTGTAATAAGCATGAAACAGCGCTGCAAAATGTAAAACCTCATGTTTTGCAGTAGAATGTGACTGCAATAAAGGTCTAGGTCGATTAGCATTATTATGGTAAGGCTGCCTGATATTTTGGCATTCACAAGATTTCCAGTAAACTCATCCTCTGACATCAACAAAATTGAAACTTGTTTGAAATATTTGGAAGACACTGCTATGGTATCAATTTGAAAATGTTGCTTGGGTTGGGTGTCCGTCTTGGCCAGATTGTCCAATGGACACCCTGGGCAAATGCCCAGGGGCGGGGTGATGACAATGACGCTAGACCTTCAAAATGAGGGATAAAAATTTTTAAAAGTACGCACTTCAATCATATATTAATTGTTTAACCTACAATCCACCTTGGTTGTGTACAAAGGCAGAACTACAAAAACTGTGTCTTTTTCCCAAATGTTATGGAGAGCAATGTGTGTCAATTTCAGGGAATCCAATTTGCCTTTTCTTTTGGGTGGTTAGTTTCAGAGAGGACTGCTGTTAAGAATATAACCAGCTGAAAGCTAATGTACAATCTCTTAAGTCAGGAAAAAAGTGAATCATGTCCAGCTAGATCAGCTGTGACATTAAGTTTTATAAGATTGGTAATGAGTACAAAATGAGCAAAATATATCACATTTTGACTGACTCACAGAGCCATTTGCATTTGGGAGCATTACCAAGAGGAGATATCCCAAACACCACAGGGAGACAAAGTCAAAATCCAAAAATTTAACAAGCTTGAGGTCATGCATGGGTAGTCAGTCAGCATGTCAAACAATTATGGCAGGAATCAAATGAGAGGCAAAATCCCCAAACTGGCAAGAATCCAGAAATATAACAAGGCAAGATTAACAAGGGATAAGCCTGAGGCAAAAATCTAGGAAACAGGCACAAATGTACTACAGAAGGACATCAACTTGAAACATGAAAACAAGAAGAAAAACATCGTTGAAAATAGCTGGAAGGCTTAACTACAAGGACAATTGGGCATCCGGCTGCTGATATTCTAGTGGTCTGTGGGGTAAACCAAGATGATTGATTGGAATATTGAACGAAGAAAATACACATAAGTGGAGGGACAAAAATAGACAGAAAGTTCACACTGAAATAAACAAAGTGAATAAATTAAGTGAGATTTCAAAATAAAACAGAAAATGACTAAATCAGAAATGCAAACCCACAGCAGTAAACAGACTTGTTTTATTAAATTTGAGCAACTGATGTGTGTTTGTTTTTGGAACCACAAAAATGAGCATTTGCGATGCTTTTGCACCACGCAGAGAACAAAGCATTTGGAAAATGTATTGTCTGTTTCTATTACCTGCAATAACAATGGGATCTACAAGACAGTTAGTTTTTGTTTAGGAAAATCCAACACCACTTCAAAAATCTAAAATGCTTTCTACTGTGGTTAAAAAAATAAATGGAGGGTGGGGGGTCGGGGGCACATTGATGGACACTTTTAGTAAAATCTACCATCTAAAAAGGGGAAAACGTGCTCTCCTCTCTACTTTGAAGGAAATTAAAGCTTACTCATGTGATACTCCTATTTTAGACATGAAGGAATCATAAATAAAAGATTTTTTTTTTTTACTTTTTTTGGTCCTATATAAAAAGTCTTGTCTGACATGACGTATCTCTTGAGAAACTTTTGAATTACTTATAATTAGTTTTTCACAGTAGCAGGCTGATGAATGACTGGCTACTGAACATAAAGATGTTCTAATCCATCTTTAATGATAATTTGGACATTTTGTTATTAATTTTCCATCACGTTTCCTTGGGGTGACCCTGAATCGAAAGTCTTGCCATGCTCCCTCTTAGAGCTTTCATCTGCTCTTTTTTTGTCCACTCTTCACTTCCCCTCTTAATTCCACTGCCTACCTGCTCTACTTTTCTATTTGTCACCTCTCAGTCTTTTTCTGTCTTTCCTCTTCAGTTTCCTTACCCCTCTTCCTTTACTATTGTTTTGTAGTCTTTTATTAATTCTCCTTTTATTCCCTTTCATCCAGCTCAGATTTCCCTCTCCTTCCTTCTTTTTTCTCTTCCCTCCTCTCCTCTGCAGGCAGCCAATTAATCTTGCCTAGTGCTAATTCCTCATGAGTGCCATTTAGTGGCAGCTCAGTGGGAGGATCCATAAGGATTTAACGTGTTTATTAAAAGTTTGACTGCTGGTCGATGGAGACTCCTGGTGTCCTCCTTTCTCTCTGCCAGCAGGACAATGCACAGCATGTTTGTCTGTGTTTGTTCTTTCTCAGTGTGTGAATTCCTCAGGGCTGCTACTTAGTAAATGATTTTCGATACGTGTGACATGAGGGTGGTTTGAACTGAAGCAGGCAGTCACGGGTGGCAGGGTAATCACTTCTCAAAAATATCTACAGTTAATTGTTTATTGTAGCTTGGATTAACACTGAAATTGTGTATAGTGAAATGGAGTGGCACAGCTTTTTTCCATACTGTTTTGTCCATTTACTCAATCACCATTTAAAATAACCAGGTTAAAATCAGGTTATTTGTTGAAGCTGAAGGGTATTCTGTGTGTTCAGTCTTTCCTCTCAGATCTTTTATGTGATTTTAAATACAGTATTACGATACACAGGGAACTATAACAGCATCACATGCTGTGAACCCTTTTTGGATCTTCTCTGTTTTACATAAATATAAGATTTCATTACCTTTTTGAGCAGAAGCAGAAAATTTGAACCATACTGAATAAATTCTTTTCGTGAAAGGACATATATGGGACACTAGGTCTTGAGATTCCGTTAATGGAAAGGTGTCCGCAGGTTTTTAGAATTTGCAAAAATCAATTTGTCTTTGTATAGATACAACAACAAAGGCTTTAACTATGATGGTACCACTATGTTTCACAGATTGAAGCGCTGTTTTCTTTCCCCAAATACACTTTTTATTCAACTTACTTTGGTGCTCAACTGTTCACTAAATATTGTTCTAATATTCCTCTAAGCACATCATTGCTGTTCTGTTTTATCCCCATAAACAGTTTGTCTAATGGTGGACTGGAGCGGCTTAACCATCAATGAGATGCTTTTGTAACCTTTTACAGCCAGATTTGTATCAATATCGCTGGAATCCAAATATGTTTTTGATCAGACTTTGACAGATGTTTGCTGTTTAAATTGCATCATGATGCCCTCTAACACTTCATAAATTGATAGCGTCTGAGTATAATCACACTTTGATATTAATTTCTAATCCTGAAGGTACGTATACTTTTCTCTTCTCGCTAATATTTTAATATTTAAGTAGATTACCTTTTCTTCTTTATTGTCATTTGATCCATCAATCAATACATAAATATCCTTCTGGCGCTGGAGAATATGCCAGCTGCAATAGGGCGAGAGGCAGGGTGTGTTGGTACTGTGTGTTAGCATTATTGACTCACAGCAACAAGGTGTTGGGTTTGAATCCACCATCTGTCTGCCTATCTGCCTTTCTTTCTGTTAGAAGATTACATTTTCTCTCTGGGTACTCTAGCTTCCTCCCACAGTCCAAAGACATGCAATTAGTGGGATAAGTTTAACTGTTAGCCCTACAACAGACTGGCAACCTGTCCAGGGTGTACCCCACTATCATTTAGCATTAAAATTATTTTTTCCCAAAAATGACGTCTAATCAAGCTATATGCAGCACCATGGAAAATCTGTGTGGATGTTTTCTTGATGCATGTTCAATCATCAACGTAAAGAAATCCTGAAAAGTCAATTCTGTTCATTTGTACATAGCATTTTAGAAAATACTATGTACAAATGTTGTGCATTTTATGTTGCTAACTTCAATGAAGAAAAATTGGTATTTTTTGCACACTTTATAATTTTATTATATACTTTTTTTATAATTTGTTACAACTGTATAATTGTCAAAGCTAAAAGTGCCTGCTGTATTTTTGAACTGTCAAAACAATTGCAGTGTTGTCCTTTGGTCCTAATCTATTAATACCTTTTTAATGTGCTGGAGGCTATGTCTCACATCTTTCCTCACTTCATTTCAGTGCTGAACCAATGCCAAGACAAAAGTTGGCAGAGAAAGGGAATAAGAGAAGAGTGTTTAAACTTGTTTACCATGTTAACAATTCAGGGTAAACACATCATTTCAATTAGGATCTGCTAGATGAGAAAACAAATTGTCTATTTAAAAAAAAATAAAATAAAAAAGAAGAAATAAAAAAATAAATTGTTATTGTTTTAGAGTTGGATGATGAGCATATCGCCTCCCAGGTTCAGCAAATTAATACAAAAAGTGCTACTTTTTTCCCTTCATGCATAAATTAAAACTGCCTAAGCTTAATACCTTAACCATACAGTTGTCTTGAAATATTATCCAAAAGTGGTGTTAATATAGTTAAACTTCAACAGGAATGATTCTGTGTTTGCTCATGCTCCGTGGGACAAGGTCTCAACTGATTATGTTTCTTTGCTTGCTTTTTACAAGTTACTTAATTTATTGGTTACACCAAATGTTTTATTTAAATGAATTTTGACTATGTGATCTTACATCTATCTGTCTGTGACTTTCTTTTAACTCACTAACATTGTGTGCACCTTATAATATCCTACACAATACAACTTAAACTAATTCCATGCAGTCATGTAGTAATATATTATTATATTTAACTTTGTAAAACCTTTACTTCACTGCGGATAACGCTTTCTGTATTTCAGCACCACGGAGAGCTCCACCAAATGTCAATCCCTGACCTTTCAACCAGAAAAATATGAAACTACATTTTGTCTGATGTATATTTTCATTCTGTGGCTCCCAGAAAATTACACTGAAGCAATCTGGTTTTGGTATTGACAGCAGATTATTTATAAATTTATGTTTATTAAAAATGTTTTACAATAAACTTGCCCCGCCTCCACCCACTAATCGCCCTGTTTCCATCTTTGAAATTAAAAGTTTGTTAATTTGCCTTTCATCTTCTTACACAAACACGCAAGCTGATATCCCTTAGTGATATTGAGACAAGGTCCTGCCAGGAGGCAATCTGTCAAAGCTTGGGCAGAAGATAACTGCAGGACAATCTCAGACACCGGAGAGGCCCGTTGCCAAAATCAAGAGAGGGAGATGGCAGTCAAGAATATAAACGCAAAGGCAAGGTTTGTCGCAGGGGAGAGGGATATATAGAGGGCATATTAAGGATAAAGAAAGTTGGATTCTATCACATTTTAAATCATAGTGGTTGTGTGTGCACAGAGGACACTATGAGTACACTATTATGGTAGAGTACTCATAGAGAAGCTAGATAACAACTTCATTTCGATTATCATCGGTTAGCTATTTCAAATCTGTCTATTCTTGCCAAATTTAATCCTGTATTTTTTCTGTGTAGAGGTTAACAGTGTATAGTTATCCATAAAATTTTATGTTTTTAGATATTTTTACAATGTATACTCTGCAGCATGTCCTTAATAAGGTGAGGAAACTGGACAAGTGGAGGATAAAAGAAGTGGTAGGCTTAAAAAAAGCGTTTTTCATTTCCTGTTCACTGAAAGCTCATCAGAAATAGTCTAAGTGGAAGAGTAGCTGTGAAAAAGCTGTTCTTAAAGAAAGGGAACTTTGAGAAAAAGGTGAGGTTTACCCAATTAAAAAAGAACTGCACTAAAAATCAGGTTCAGTGCTTCAAACATAGGAGGTCAGAAGAAAGAAAGTGGCGAGTTTCTATAATCATCTATAAAACACGGTGGAGGCTCTGTCATGGTTTGGTGCTGCATTATAGCCAGGGGTATTGGAAACTCATCACAACTGATGGAATTATGAATGCTGAAAAGATTTTGATCCACTGTAAATTAAACTATAGAACACATCTGATTGGCAACAGTTTAATTTTTCAGCATACCTTGGTAGACATACGCACAATTGGACATTATCAGGCCACCCCATATCTCAGATCTTAACAATACTGAAGCATGAGGCGTGAAATCATCTTGAAACAGAATGCAACAAAAGGCAGCCAACATGCAAACAGATTGGCGCCCAAGACTGCAATTACATTTTTTTTTTGCAATGCTTACAAATCGATCGGTTTATGAATTTGAAATATATACATTTTGCAAAGACAAATGAAAATGAACTGTCCTTTTTTTGTCTTCAAGGTTTACTGATTTATGGATTAAGAAAATGTACAGTAGCTTATTTCATGATATAAACTTACAGTTAAATAGGTTTAGTAGGTTTTTTTTAGATAACCTCTAGGTTTTTGCTTTGTTTTTATTAGACAGTGGCAGTGGAATGACTGGAAGGAAAGGAGACCGTGTGTTTGGGATGGCAGGGGCATATCAGCTGGTGCTTAGACAGGTGAGCTATAGGGCACAACAGGACTCAGTTGCTCCTGTTATTGCTTAACACCTTTTTTAACTTTGTTCAGGCAAATAGTCAGTACATATTTTGCAGTGAGCACCTATTCTTAGCTGAGCCATAAAGACGGAGGTCTACCATAACAGACAGTGCCCAAATTGCAGGTTGTGCAAAGATGTCCCAGTCCTACAGTGGGACTGTAGGACTGGGATTTAATATGCAAGCTGGGATGGTGAAAAGGAACATCTGTGCTGCCTGTGGATTAGAAGTTCCCCCACAGGGCTAAGATCCTGTGAGACTACAAGTTTGAGACAGACAAGCAGCTGTTGGCCAACCAACCAGACACAGTGGTAGTTGATGATGAGCATAAAATGGCAGCTTCGGCAGAAATACAAGGGGCTGAAGGAACAACTGGAGTCCAAAGTAGCACAACCGAAACATTTTAGGCTGTAACCCCCAAATTGAGAGAGATTCCAGGCTCCACATTTGAGGTCTCTGCCCAGAAAAATGCAATCCTAGGAACAGCTAAAGCCCATTATTGTGCATATGAACTGTGATATTATCACAACATTGCAACCATTTATACTGGTCTGCTGAAATGACAAAAGTCAGATCTCAAAACAACATCAAAAAATCAAAGCAGGTGTCCTGTACGAATAAAACAAGCTGAAATAGGCAATAAAGCAAGTGAAGAGTTTTTTTCAGGGTTTTTTGCAGAACACTTGATGTTTTCTGACAGCTTTGATGTGCCCCTTTGCGCTATTTGGAAGGCTCTATGTTACTCTGTTGATATGTCACTAAAATACTGCTTGCAAAAATTCAAAGGAGTATGCTCCCTGTATCCAGGAGTCCCTGTGCTCTGGAATATATAGACAGACACTATATATTTGTTCATCTGCCTTCAAATGCATATGAAATGCAATGTCAACTCTAACTCAATTACACACACTCACGTAACCACATCTGTACATGAGCCATCAAATAGGAAACTGTTCAATGCTCACATGCGCATGTGCTAAGATGCATATACATTTCTCTCCAAATTTCATAAAGCAAAAACAAACTACTGACACAGATACATGCAGTTATGTGAAATCATTGCATATAGTGAGAAAGGAGTGAGTCACAAAGTACAGATTTCACAATCTTGTACAACCAACCTCATGCAAATTATTTCACAACATACATAAATCCTCAAACACACTTTAATGCTTTAAATTCAACCAGACAGAACATCTGAGACAGCTGGAGTGTCATCAGATCTTGACAACCTATTTCATGGTCTGTTTATTCAAAAATTTAATTTACTCACCATTTCTGTTTTGCATCCACAGTCTCACACACACACACACACACAAACACAAAGCTATCACATTCACATATACAGTATATGGATTTGTTGCATTATAGAAACATGTTCCTATACTCATACAATTTTGAGGGGAAAAAAAACCCCCAAAGATAACTGGAGAGACTTTTGGATGTGTTGGGAGATTTTGAGTTTTGTGTTATGTTTATTTGTAGCTTCATTTAAAGGAAGAAGAGCTTATGAGTTGTACAACTGCAGGAAAGGGAAGTGAGACATTGTGTGAGAAAATATGTGCTGTGACAGCAAAACAGCTACCTCCTGTTTCAA